CGGCAAAAAAAAAGAGTAAAAAATAATTTTTGCGGATATAGTGATTTCATCACACTATTACATAATCATATACTTCAAAACAAAAAAAAAAAAAAAAAATAAATAAGGATTATTACAGGAGACAAGAGTTTAACTGCGATAGTATAATTGGACTTGAATTCTTTAAGAAAAAGAAAAATGAAATCTTTCAAACCTCCTTTCCCAAGGACTCGTATGAGTATGAAATTCTCCATATTCACTTTTTCCTCCTCCCACAAATCACTTTCCACCGATCCGGAAGTTGATGATGACACGGAATTATGTGACATTTCCTTGGAAACAACAAACAGAGATAATTATCATAATTATCATGCATGCTATCGATACCATACTTAAGATTTTCAAAAATCGAACACATCAAAGAGGATTAATACGAAAATCTCACATCCATTAAATCAAGAAGTATCGATGAATATATCTAAAACTTGCAGAACAACAACACGGTTAATGGAATGAAAAGAATACTTTTGATTACGGCTGGCCTGTACTTGTCAATATCAAGTGCTACAAGTTAGTAGTACAACCGCACATGGCAGATATTCTTTCGAAAAATTGAAAGCTTGAACAATAAATGCATATATTAAATCCAATAACTATCGGCACTTCTACGTTCAGAGGAGACCAGAAAGGCTAGGGCTTGAAGAGAACAAAATCTGAAAATCAAAAAAAACCCCAGAAAATGTGCTTAATCAGAAGAAATAACGAATACCAACTAACGCTAGGCTATGACGAATTATCAATCCTACCTATGAATATCAAGCTTTACAGTGTAACACTCCTTAAGCATATATCAGGCCTATGGGAAACTTCAAATTCTTTCCGACAAGCGTCCTCCAACGTCCTCCAGTACTCTTATTAAGCTTAACTATCGATGGCACAATGCTGCTGCTCTACTAAGAGATCATCCACAGAATAGTATATCTCAACCCTGTTTTCTCTTTCAGTGGGGCAAATGTGACTCTTTTGTATGTGACTCTTTTCCAGTCAATTTGTAGTATCACATTTGGTATTCTCTCGACGACTCTGAGCATTTCCTCTGCTGCTTCACAAATCCTTCTGATAAAATATAACGACTACAAATCTTAAGTTTTCTTGCATGTTGAAAAGATTTCTATCTGTCAATTATTATGCAATTATTTTCATTCATCATCGAGTTAGTTTGATAAGGCACTTTAGCGATTTCTAGATTGGCTATCTGCACTGATGACAACTTTCCAATAAGTGTTCCACGTTATGTCATTTCCCCTGTGAAAAAAGATACCATGACAAATCTCTTAGAATAACTGTAAACAAACCTCACCAATAATGACAAATCATTCGGTCTTGCACTCTGCACACCCAGGTTCATCGCTGCTGTATCTTGTTCCTCAGATCAACCTCAGCCACTTTCCATACCATTCATATCATCCGATCACTCTCGTCATTTCGTTCTCAAATCCAAATCGATTGGTATATTTCTCCTCCCCAGAATTAAGGGTTACTTGACCTCATACGGAATAAGATCGCAGCAGTGCAACTTGGCAATTTCATGCACTTCAAGCAATATGTGCCATTCACAATAAGAACCTAATTTGGCCTAATTTTCTATTTCCTCTTCTGTCGATGTCCGAGATTTTCATAACCCTTACATATCGAAGTCTGATCCGAAATCAGAACACAATCCAAAATGAACACCTTCCTCAATACTGTACATTACCTGCTAAACTGCAGAGTCACTACACCTCAACGACCCATACAAATTTGGTCGATGGAGCCGTTTCAGCAGTGCAAATTTCTGATGACTGACACGTTACCTCACGGCTGTACAATGTTTCAGCCACGTAGAACTTAACAATAGAAGGCATTTTTTAGAGATTCGTTTAGCATCACTGCGCAAAGTATGTGATACGAGCAATTTCTCAACCATTCATCTTCTCAGAATTCTAATTAGAATAAGACCACACGATTCTATGTTTACTGTGCACTTCCATATTACACCACTCACGCATTGCTCACTTCTGATATTATTTATTCAAAGTTCTGATGCACAAAAGAGATGCTCAACTAGTAGAAGGAGAAGTGCTCTTCTTGAATTACTTGACCGAATTACTTGTTGTTTTGCTCCAATATTTCCTTAGAAAATATGGCAAAAACGTGTGATAAGGACTTGAGTCAAAAAACTGATGTGATAGGGAAGGACGCTACCAAGGTAAGTGATGTATCTCAAACGAAGTAAATCGAAAAGAGAGTAAAGAATTGTTTTTATTAAATGTTAAGAAAGGTCTAGCGATGTCACTGCTGGTCGCGGGAACGGTTTTCGGTTTTCCATGAAGAAGACATTTTACAGTTGAAAAAACTGTGAGCCAACTGGTTGGCAAGAAGAACTAATTATGAGATAGATGGCAACACGAAAAGTTAACACTCTTATTCAATTCCTCCTCATACAGAGAAATGATTTATCTCCAGCAAAGTCTGCTAATTCAAAAATATTCGTTATTTCTCATATCACGACAAGAAGACTGTGGTAATATTCACATCATTAACTGATGATCAGACCGGGAAAAACGATTCGTACCAATCAGATAGGCTTCATATAACCTAATTTTGTCCTGTGGTCAGGCCATATAACTCAGTAGGTGAAGTTTCATATTTGGTGATTGAGGAGACTTCTGCATACCGTACAACAATACGGCTTCTCACCAGTATGAGTTCGGATTCCGGATGAAGCAGAACCGAACAACTAATGACGTAGCTTAAACTTCAACATTGGAGCGTGTTCCGAAGTTCAGCAATGCATTTTAAGACTTTTATTTGCAGCTACCACAAAGAATAGGAATGGTTATACCTGTCAGACTGTTTATACTTAACAATTTTCTACCAATAAGAGTTTGATTTTGCTAATATCATGCTTAGTGAAAAAGGAAATAAAACAAAATAAGTGCAGCGAGGACAGAATGAGTGGACGATGACTCCACCACGTAAGAGAAGCGCGAGAGATATTATTCCCTCATACATTGACAAACATATTGCGCAACACTTATAGATATGCACATACTGGCTATATATGGACGGAATGAGGAAGGATGCAGCAGATTGGGGAAGAGAGGGAAGAAGAGAGATAGTTAGAGGGCGGGGGAGAAAGATAGGGGCGGGAGCCATTAAGTGCACCATTAAAAATTATTACAAAGCAAAGACTGTCTAACTTGAAAAAGTGTGAATAAACGAACCACTTTCAGACATCACTGAAAATAATAAGATAGGAAATCGAATCCCGAAAGAATTTTCCTGATACCTAGCATGTGGAACTATTTCACGACAAAGTTATTTAAATAAATAAACATGCATATTAGACAACAAGTAGTTACAGTTAAAGTTTGTCTAGTGATCAAAAGCCCGCCAGAAAACTGGAAAATTTTAAGAAAATTATAGTTAACTATGCGAAAGAAGAAAAACCAAGAATCTGTCTAGGATAACACAAATTTAAACTGGATTTGACGTAAATGTTTTCCTATCTGAATTCAGAACTCCAAAAACTTCTTATTCATTTCAATTTGATTGTAAATTAGTGAAATAATTCGGAGATGGAGATGCCAAGCATTGGTCTGATGGATTCTCAAATAGGCATTCAACCGCTTCGCTTTCCTTTCTATAACACATTTTAATTTTATCTTACATCTCCTTCTTCTCGTAATCTATTGCTTAGAATCATGAATCAAAATAGTAGAATAGAAGAAGGGGTAATAGAATCAGGATGAAAAACCTGCAGCAGTGAAGTCGAAAGAAGTTGAAAAACTTTAAAATTTTAAGCTAAGCAAAATAACCATTTTAGAATGTTGTGAGTACGCAGAAGATGGAATAGAATTCACGAGCTCAATCAGGAGGAGAAAGAGACAAGAATAAAAAACATATCAAAATTAAAACATATAATATGGGAAAAAGATGAAAGTGGCTAAATAACTTGCAGCTGTCACCAAAATTTAAACTGTCAAAACTGTCACTTAAACTGTCACCTGTCACCAAATCAAGTTCATTAAGCTGACATAATTAGCGAAAAATTTTTTGTATCTTAAAAGAAGAAAATCGTAAACTAAATTGTACGGCAAATTTAAATTTAAATGCAATTTGCTCAAATCCAGACCTAAATAAAAGCCCATTCTTCAACAGGGCCAATGCTTTGAGCATGCTTGAAATGAGTCTTGCTTTAGGCCCTTTAAGAGAATGATCCAGGCCGAAAAAGTGACGTCAGTAAGGACATTAGTACGGACCTTAAGCAGTGACATCATCCATCTGCCTTACTTTATGGGAAACGAAAACACAGAAATGTCCGGAATCCAATTACTTTCATTTTCTTCCCAAGCTACGCACTTAGTGCTTCACAAAAACAATTTAAGAGCAGTTTGGTGTTCGAAACAATGCATGAAATGGACAAGAAAACATACGGAATAATGGATTAATTTCTTTATGTATACTTCAATATTTATCCGGTTACCAAGAAAATTCGGCGTAGAAGAGATGAATACTGCTGGAACTTTTGCTCGGCAAATAATAATTGGTGAAGTTCTGAAAATTCCAACAAAAATAGGCGTTAGCAGCAAATAAACCTAAGAATCTACAGTAATCCAGTTTGAACGGACGAAGGGGAGCAAAGTGAAGGACAGCGGGACTGAACACATGGAAGATGCAAAAAGTGAACAGGCAGTCAAGCCAATGAGTGGACATCTGAGAGACCAGCCAGTGTTTTTACAAATTTATGGAAACACGCGAAAGTTACTGGTGCATTTACGAGAAGGAGGACTTTCAACTGAAAAAAAACCTCCGAATTTCCGGGAGTATATGGGATGTCATGAATGCGAGGATAGCTCTTCTTGTCATTTCCTTGACAGCTTTTAAGACAAGAAAAGATATTTACAGCAACCACGATCATAAAAACATGAGAAAATGTTCGAACGATTTAAACCGGAGCATGTTTCTTGGCAAGCTGCCAGTTCTCAGTCAAACCTCGCTTTATAGATGGTTTGGGTTGGTTGCAACTGCTGGTCGAGGGTTATCTTGCAGCGTGCTGGTTTGCGTGAGTAGTGATTCGGTCTGAGTTTTATTCAGTAGGCGATGATTCAACAAGAACGTAAACTACATGAACTACCTCCTTGATTAATTTACCGATACCTTGGATCCGTATCGTGAGGCCTGGATAAGTTACTTGCCGGAAATTTGGGGAAGATGTCCGGGAAAATTTAGGATTTTTTATCTGGAAGGCTAAAATTCGATTCTAGTTGGAGATTTCTCATCGGAAAGAATGCATTTAGATTAGTAACAAGATCGATCGACAGAGAATGGCAGTACTGGATGTGCTACAACTTATTCTTCACTGATTGGTGATATTTTGGAAATTGAAAAATTATTGGAGAGAATGTCGATCGATATATGATAGATTGATAGTACCACACTCCTAATTAGATAATTAGTGTCATGGATATCGCACTTCATGGAAAAAGGCACAGGTAACGTGAAACGAAGCAAAGCATCATCTTGAGCATACGTGTGTATATGGATCGAACTGAAGCATTGCGTTTACGCCTAACGGGTCTTGTACTTCTCGCATTTACCGCAATATCTCATCAGAGTTACTTCCATCTTACCCTCTTTATAATTTCACTCTGCTTGAATGCAGCATTTGCCTTTCGGCGATTGTACACACCTGCTGTAGGTGTTGTTACTTTGGCTGTAATCTGCTTGGCACTACATCTGTTCCTGCTACTTATGACACAGATTACTTACATACAAAAAAATCTTAACACCAATTTCAAAAGGTATACCCTTTCCTGCTATCTTCTCGAAAATTTTAATTCAGAAACTCAGTAAAACTTGACGGTTTCATGACTTGCAAATAACTGTGAATTTCCAAGGTTTTTATTGTAAAATTTTTATTTTATTTTTTATTGTTTTTATTGTAAAAAAAGCACAAAAGCGCAAATTTGCTCTTTCGATTGAAATTCCTTGATTAATTTTGTTTTTTCTTCTTTTTTTTAATACAATAAAATAGTTACGTGCTTCAAAATTCTGCAACTTGATTTACTGAAATATCGCTTGCAGGTTCTTAGGATTGTCCTATTTCTTATGTTCACCTGATGTTGACAGTAGGTGTGAAAAGCATTCCTGGAATGTGTATGCTGGAGTTGCCACGGAACTTTGTTTGGCAAGTGTACTGTTTTGGGCCAGAAGGTAAATGAAAACAGTTAATTTGGTTGTGATAGTGAGGTAAAATTAAAAATTTTAGCTATTATGAACTACTGTGCAGTTTGCGCAGATCAGCGAATAATCAGATTTCAGTGGAACCCAATTTTTTTGTCTTACCTTTTATGATACTTTTATGATACCTTTTATGATACAAATTACCGTACTCACCTATGATACTTAGTATAAGATGATTTTCAATGTAGCACCTTTGGAAGATCTAAAAAATGTTGCAACCTCCAGCTCCGAGAAATTAGAGTTCAGTTGACTGCAGGATACTTTGAAGCGTCTGACTTTCTACAGGGTGTCATTTTCCTCAATGGAATATACCACCGAAACACAAGCAGAATCGATTAGCCTAAAACAAGTATATCTCCTGACACCGATTTCGGTGATTTTATGGGCTCTTCTGTTTCCATCATGGCTAAATTTTCTCTGGATTCTTGCTTCATGGCTTTTATTTTCATTGGTTGGAGAAAAGCGTCATCGACTGTCAGCGGCACCCTTCATTTTAACATTTGCTTCAGTGAATTTACTTTTCAGTATTTCAATTGTTTTCTAAAATTAAGATTTTGGTAAATTTCGATCTGTACTCTGCAGGCTATTGGAATTAAGATATCACAATTGTTGTCTATGACGGCCCACAAATTGATGTAGCCTATAAATGGAAATCTATTTGATTTCTAGTGTTTCTGATTGTATTTAACCACGAGTTTTTGTCACATCAAGTTCATAATGTTAGAAATTTCAATGATCTGAAAGTTTTAGGTTTTGCTGTTATTTCAATACATTTCTGGTCTCACAAATTTCCGAGGGATTATGCTCGAAAAACTGGGGTTACATTCTGGAGTAGGGCCTGCTACTTTCTATCCTTTATTAATAAAGGTACGTTAATTACAAAGAGTGATGTCGAATGCTCGTTGATAAACAATGAGGCATAGTTCAGATTCAGCCAAGTTTCAGCTTCGCATGCATTGTGATATACATTTTAGAGCACGTATAAGTTTCTTACATACTTAAGGTGGTGGTTATGTTTGTCATGAAAAATGTATTTATAATTGATCTTACTTTTATAATATTTATAATTGATCGTACTTTTAGTCACTTTAGCGCACAGTGAGTTAAAATCATGGATGTCAGCCATCGTTATCTTCATTTTCAACACTTTTTTTTCGTAAATTTCGAAAAATTTCAGATGTCGCTTTGTATACCATTTTATATGATGCGTTATTTTGATGGAAGGCACTCAGAAGCATTTAGCACATTTGAAAATATAGAAACAACTAGGATTCCGGATGTATCTTTAACATCAATGCGACGATCGTTCATTACTGCAGCTGCTCTGGAAAGTGTTAATCGTTTGGAATGGATCGCACCCTATTTCTGCCTTTTTACATGTAAATTTTTTCCATAACTAAATAATCTTGCCTTTTTATCAAGTTGGGAATTCGCTTTTTCTTGAAGTCGCCTAAAAGATATTGTACATTTCCCAGTTTATTCTACTATTGCCCTGCACTTTTTTCTGGTGAAACGTGGATATTTCTATATCTTTTCGAAATTAGAGCCGAGATTTTTGCCGCTTTTTAAATTCAGATCATAATTGTGTTTTGCTTAATCCTTTATCTTCTCTATCTTTATTCTCATGCAAATTATAATGCTGCGAATTTTAGGTATATTATATGTTTGTTTATATTATATGTATATTCTGATACATGGTGATTGGCAAGTACTCAGTGATCATCAATGGTTATCTCCTGCAGTTCGACCTTTAGCATCTGCCTTGTGGTTACCATTCTGTTTCATATTTCTGTTGATTTTCGTGCACATAAAAAGGTCTGTACGTTTTTAAAATGTCTCAGCTTTTTTGCCTCCTTTGCTATCAAATTTTCAACTTTCGTTTTGAAAATTTATTAAAATGATAAGTTATTTAATTCTATTTATGCATAAGAAACTTTGGAACTGAAAAAGTGTGGAGAATAAAGCTATTATATCAGTTCTAGTTCCTGTTTCAGGCAAAGTAATGTGTTTCCCTCTGCATTCCACTTTGTGAATTGCAATTTTTGTTTTAAATTCAGTTTTCTAACTCTGGTATTGAAGTTTGGATTCTCACTTAAATTTCCACTTCACCTGGTTTTGAGTATAAAGATGTTTTGAGAATCGCTTTTTCTGAAAATTCCAAGTTCGAAAAAAGTATCATTCAGACTCGATATCTCAATGGATATTCTCTTGAGGCCTACATCTGTGTTTGCTCATTTATTAGCGACAAATTACGATACCTTAATAGCGGTATCGTTGTGCTGTTTTGCTAGCTACAATTTGTCAATAGTCGGCATTGTTTTGCTACTGTTATCACTGATAATCTTTATCACTACTGAGCAGAGATGTAAGAATAATTCATTTTAGTGTTAGTTTAACTTCAGTTTTGGAAGATGTACTTGTTGTGTTTTATATTTATTTTGCTAAATTGGAAGTCGAATTTCAGCTGAAGATCCAAATGTTATGTTTTAGATTCAGATGTTGTATTTTAGATTCAGTGAAGTCCCATTCTAGGTAGGTTGGCGTGTTCCGCAGTTGCGCTATTACTTTCAGTTCAGTGGCTGACGTCTTTTATTACATATTCCTTTCATTTACCCAACTATATATATTCACGAAATTGTACATCCGGTCATGGAATGATTATAGACCATGATATAGCTAAATGGTTTGGGTTCAATCTGAATCAGGTTACTATTCAGTTGTAAATATAATGAATTTTAATATTGCATTATCATCAACAGTTCCTGCTAGTGGCATTTTTAGACCTGGTCAGTCATCATACTTTTGCTAATAATATCCATGCGCAATGTATTTTCGAAGGATCGATCGAAATGGCTGATCGAAGTGCAAAGATCTGATGCTGAAGAAGTGAGCTCGGGCTTTTTCATTTAATTCTACATTTTGATAAGAAAATAAATTCTTTCAATGAGGAGATGGTCTAGATTTATTGGAAAGATGATTATAATCGAAATTCCATTGTTCTTACCTATTATCCAACTTTCTTTACGAAAAAAAACAGATTTCAGGATGCAACTTCTCTGCTGAAATTCCTTTCGAAAAACTGGATGTACAAGTTTGGTGTTGAGGTGAGTGGATGACTGGAAAGGTATTTAAATAAAATTTTTACCAATTTTGAAAGGAAGTTTCTAACTTTGGTTTTCTTTCGACCAATTATTTACTTAGTTGTACAAACTTATTTTCAACCTTAACAAAATTTTCTCCAGTGTGTTATTAAATTCAGGTGTGTTCGATCGTAGGAGTAGTATTGTCATGCTGTCACCATGATATATTTGGGCTGTATTTCTTGTTATTGATTTCATTTTTACGGATATGTAAAAGATGGCTGCAGAAATCGATCTGGTCTTCTTGTGCCATTTTGACATTGATAGTTTTGATAATGGAGTATCTATTCGCAGTTGGTTTACCTCATCAGGTTGTTGCTATCAAAATTGGTTTTATGCTGGATTGTTGCAGAAATCAATTGATTTTAAATTAGAATGTGATTTGCTATAAGATTTTACCAACTGTGAAAACAATTTGAATAAATTTTCTCTTTTCAGTTCTCTCATCGCCACAATTACTTTTGGAATGAGTGGAACACTGAAATAAAGAAATTCTTTGTCTTACCCTTTACTATGTCATCATCTCCAATATTTATCGCCGATTATATTCTTTTTCTATTAATTTTGATACAGAAAGAGGTTTTTGATAGGGAGGTTTGTATGTCACTTTCATTTTGCAGTGATAGCTGCACAGTTTTTAATTACATTTAAATGGAAATTACTTGTTGTGGGACCCAAACCATAATTTTATTTCATTGCGCTATGATATATATTTAAAAATTGGAACTGTTTAGAGTAACGAGCAAATGAACTGCACCAAAATGTAGAACTCATATAATTCGGCAAATCTTATCTTTATATCTAGAAAGGAATGTGCCAGTTCGAAATATTGCAAAATTTTTTACTTAAAGTAAAAACTAGAGACAGAAGTCATTCTGCAATTCATAAAAATGCTGAGGATCATAAATTGAATGAAATGTTACTTTCAGAAGGGACACCTTGAAGGCGATAATACGCCGTTATCAGAGGCTGATTTCAGTCAGCCAATCCCAACCTTATACAATGATTTTATATCAGAAAAAGGGTGAATATTTCATCTTGAACATAAGATTTTTGCACTTCAAAAAATTAAAGCTAGCAGTTTTTACGATTCATTTTTTCGATCTGCTAATATTAATTACTCTTTTATTCAACTTTTTCAGAAACCTTTTGGCGTACGTACATACTGCAATTTTTCTGTATTCTCATTGGGTATCGATGATAATTATCTTGATATGCAGTATTAATGATGGTACAATACTCAGTTTCGGTTACATTGTCACAGTGTTTCTATTTATGTGGAAAGGAATTTCGCTCTACGCCTGTCATTCATTCAGAAGTGTTCTTGTCTATTGGAATTGCCTCGTTTATTACAATGTTTTTCTATTAATTGTCAAGATTTTATACTTGGTGTGCACAAAAATTCCTTTTTTACTCTAGTTTTGATTTCGAAAGTTTTCAATGTTTATCACTTTCTAGTCTTTCGGTCTAACATCTGTCTTGTCGGACTGAAGTGTTGATCTTCTTTGTTTCGAAATTTTGAAATCGTTAATTCTTTTAAGGATGCGTTTTGCAAATTTGGTTTTGCTTTTCCATGCTCGCTAGAGCGAATATTTGGACTTCATTGTTTCCCTAACGAATGTCTTGGCTATTATAAAAAGACAAGTTTGGTCTACGATGTCATCTGTTTTGTTGTTCTGACATATCAAATGCGTGTATTCAATTCATGGTATTTCCAGTTCGTCATCATGGATTATAGGGCGGATAGTATTCTTGGCGCAAGGTTTGTTCAAAAATAGAACTTCGTAGAGTTTGGGTCAGTCTTCCTTTGCTTTTATATTCAGTAAGTTACTTTTTGTGTCTTTCATTTCATAATTACTTAGATATCGAGATATGGACCATTGCTTCGATGGCATATATTTCTTTACATCTTTTAGTTTTTCTGGCATTTCTTGCTTTACAGAGGAGGTGAATTGCTTCTGGAAATGAGAAGACGTGAAGCACAAATGAATCATCAACGGCTGCAGAGTAATGTCAGGTGTCTTTGGATGATGGTTGAGGAAGAGGATAAACAGGCACCGATTTCGATAAGGTCTCTACCTCAATCTCACGAAGAAATTAAGAGGTGCTGTGAGATTTGTGTTAATTCCAAAAAGATGATATTAAATTTTATATAATCGGGGATTAATAATACTAAAAAAAATTTCATTCTCTATAGGTCTGGATATTATCATCAAGTAAGTGAACGCTTCTTCCCTTTGCCACATTCCGATATTAATTTTGAACGGGAGCAAACATTTTCTTTAATTTCTCGTGAATTTGAAGAAAACATGCGTGAAAACATTGACACTGCCACCATGGTCGAGAAGACTGTCGAGGTAATGGCTTTCAAAACAATTTGAGTAAAAATAATAAGGTTTTGAAATATTAACGTAAGTTGTTAACTAATGCAACGGTAAGATACTCTAAGATCAAATATGTTGTTCAGAGCTACATACTTTTACTCAGATTTTTGCTTTATGATTACACAACCATTTGTCGATGCTGCCAAGGTTTTTCAGATGAGAATCTTATTGAAAAATGCATTTAGTTATTCATAAAATCAAAAAATTACATTTCATGAAGATCATTTGAATATTACGAGACTTATAAAGATTCACATATAAGCTGTGTTATCCCTGTGTTAGTTTCGTTCCGTAAAAAATATGCTCATTTCAGGTTCTTGATAGCGTTAGAGTAACAGCGTTGCATATCTTCCAACTCCTGAACAATCCTGAGTGGCTCTATCGAATTTCCAAAGATGACGCTTTTGTGGCGCATGTTTTGAATGAGGACAAAAGACGTATCAAAGCAATCTTGAAAGATGTAATGTTTGTTATCGGAAGTTTCTTTGAACTACTCTTGTTTGAAACTCTTGAGTTTGCTGTAATAATTTTCTTCTTTATATCCTAATAAGAGGACTTTCTTTTATCTGATCGGTAGCTTTTTTAGAATCCATCTCGGCAACAATAATTTTTTATATACTTTTGAAAAATGCAACAGAATTTTGTAGCGGTTAAGAATCGCTGATACGGAAGATAAATTGCGGGAACTACACAAGCAACTGATTCTTCAGAAACATTTCGAGTCAGTATCTTCAGAAATACTTTGGGATGAAGCATTGAATGAGTATCGTACTATACATCCTGCATTTAAATTTCTTTACTGGTTAGCTGAAAATTTTTTTTTTTTAGTTTTCCATACTTTCTACTTCATCCGCATTGAAACAAAATATAATAAAGTAATGGACATTGAATCATATTTCCATCATTTGGAATGATCAATAATGATAGGAGATGATATACTACACTCCTTTATATGTGTAGATGCTTAAATAGCGGTTCGTGATATAGTTTCGTATGGACTCGTCTTTTACGAACAGAAAACTTCCATTCTACGATCATAATACTCATACACTTATCAAGTAACATAGATAAAAAATTTGTTCACCGAATTTATCTATTCACCTGAATCTTCTTCACCTGTCTTGTTTAACTAGTGTAAATGGCTTAAATCTCTGTTTTTCAGTTTTTCGCATGCGACTGTAGCCCAGTCGGAGCTTATCTGCTTCTTATTAATGCTTATTGTACATTTATCCAAATCATCTTTAATCAGTTTTCCGCTGCCAATAATGGTTTATCTTTTTTAGAATTCTATTCCTTTTGCAAACTTTTAAATATGATATTCAAGCTTTTAAGTATGATATGTGTAGCCACTGCTTGCCACACATTCATGCAGATTTTGTTCCAGTTCAATTCTGGTCCATTGAACTTATCGATTCGATTTATTTTCTAAATATTTTTCATTTTCTGATTTAATTTCATCTAAGGTATTTTTCTGGGGAGTGCTTGCTATTCCACGTCCATCGAAATCTTTTTGGCTCATAACCGCTTCCTACATTCAATTTATCATCGCTTTCCGATTACTCTTTTGCAACGAGCTGACTTTGATCAGTGAAAGGAACATTTCAGATAATAATCCTTTCAGTATTCGAAGGTATGATATTTTTTCTTTTTTCAGTCCTTACTGGGTGATTATACTTGAAAGCGGATACAAGTATACAGCAGTATTGATTGTAGTATATTTCCCCATTGATAAAGGCATTCTTCAAAAGTTTTCCATTATGTGTGAGATGCATAAAACTTTGAAGAACTTCAAAAAATAAATAGTCTATTTTCATCACCTGACATCTTGAATAATCTCAAAAAAATTTGCTATAACCCACTGTTCATATTTCTGAACGAAACATCTTTGGCACTAGGAACTTTCTAGAACGCTTTTGAAAACACTGATTAACTGTAATTCATGGCATTTACTGAAGTGATTTTCTGGATTATTAGATTGCTAGCAATGGATCCAAGTATTAATGGACCATACTGGGATGTCGCTCTGCTTGCGATGGTCTTCTTTCATCGGTACAAGTTGCTAAGACTTGGTATGTGGGATAATGATTTTCAAGTACATGAGCAGAACTTGAATTTGAATGATGATGAAAATGCTGTGAAGGAAGAAGACAATGAAAGAATGTCAGGCAAGGTGTGGTTTTCTATGACTTTCGTCCTCTTAATTAATATTATCTATTTTCTTGAAAGATTTCTGGTATGATTTATTTTTAAGTGGGAAGTCACCAGATCTTTAGATAAAAATTTAAAAATTCTTTAGTCAGCATCATGCAAAAAGTTCTGCGAGGCGTTGCTGACAAAGAAAGCTCAGTCATCTATGGACTGGTATCCGTGGATGGTAGGATGTGATGCAATGTGTTTGATTCTTATATCCTTCTTCTATTCAATGATAGGACAAGGAGGTTCCGGAAATGTATTGTTGGACATGCAGGTGAACACATAGTAGTTGCTAACTTACGCGTAACATTATGATTAGTTTCTTTTCCTATTTCACTTCTTCAGTCTTCGTCCATGATCTGCTTTGATTTTGACGCTAATTGAGAAGTTGGAAGATTTTTCAAAGGTAAATTTCTCAGAAGCAAGTCATCGGCGATACAGTTGCTAGCTAAATATCGCCATAGCGAAATATTTGAACGGGTAAAATCCAACTGAAGCGAAATTAAGAGAAAAGAACATTATATTTGTCAGCGATAGTTGCTGCATAATTTATTTTGGTTCCTTTGAAGGTAGCACGATTACCGAGGTGGTTCGCCAGCACTTTAATTTGTGTGTTTGTAATTATGATAATTGATCGATGGCTTTACTTATCAAAGCAAACCAAATTTCGCTTTTTTTACTATGTCTCTCTCGTTGTTTTACTACATGTGGTCATATTTTTCTTCGTCCCTTCTATCACAGGTTACGTTAGGAAATTTATTCGGTTCAGAGCTTGAGCTGGGTTCGAAATGTTTGGTTTTATTCTTAGTCATTTGCAATAGTTACAAGAAACTTCTGCAAGATTCAGAAAGCATAAAATATTTTGATTTGAAGACAATATATTAGTTAATCTTTTCATTTCAGACTTCATGCGAGTTGACGTATTTTTTTTAGGACGTGTGGTAACATGGAATAGATTATCAATTGCTTTATATCTCATAAAAAGTGCATATTTACTCATGAGTGCATGGCATATGCGAAATGGTTATCCATCTGTGATAAATCGTGATATATTACTCGGTGGTTCTGGAATTTTCCGGCTAATTATATTGAAGATGTTCGATTTTACAACACTTCACGATTTAATCGGTTTCTCTCCGTAACACTTCTAATTTGCAGTTAGCGGAGTGGCTGAAAGTTCCAAAAGTAGGTGCGGAAACATGATATATTCTGTCAATTCCGCTGAATTTACATACAATATCTTTTTATTGTCAAATCCAAAGCGTAAACTAATTTAGTTACCTCAGCATACCATTTCTTTTCGAACTTCGAACAGTTATGGATTGGACATTCACATCGACAGCTCTTACAATGG